TCTACACAGGTGTTGATTATTGCCTCTCCCTCTGGCTCTCAAGAACGTTTTGGTGGGATGAGCATTCAAAGCAACCCTCATGCTGCTGCTCCAGGAATGGAATAATCACAATTTACTAGTGTGTATTTGCTACAAAGAGGCCATTCTGGACTAGAAACTCTTCCAAGACATGGAAGGTATGAAGTAGGGTTCCAGAAAGAACATATGAGTCACCGAAAGTTAATACTCTACATGCCTGACACACTGATGAAACTTCAGTGACTCTGGAGAGCTGGAATGTTACAGGCCAAGAGCCAAAGTCTCTTTGCTACCTCAGACTTGCCATCACATTTATCACCCACTTCTGCATTTGACCTAACATACTTTTATTAGAGAAGATCATTTTCAGAACATATAAGCAGAACCTTGACTTCCAGCCACTCAAAGAGTAAGACAGTTGTCTGAGAGCATCTGGGCCCATGACTGAGGTTTCCTTACTGTGTTGCCTGATGTCTCCAGCCTACCTGAAATAACCTGTCTGATGTCTCTATCTGTATTTTTAAGTGTCTTTATCTATGATTTCTTGTTGTTCAGTTATAAAACTTTATGAAACTGTTACTATGTGGGAATCTGTATCTGCCTCCTTTTGAATTATGAAAATTCATGGCTAATATTTTGTCTTCCCTTTAATTTATCACAGAAAAATATCTTTTGAGATTCTAATTTTAAAATGCATACCAGATATTGAATGGGACTAGTTGATATCACTAATATTTAGTTCCAAAATAAGTTAATCCTTATCTGTTAGAAGTAAGAGCTGTTGTGTGCCAGAGCAGTGTTCTGAAATTTAACTAGCTACACAGAATGGTAAGATCAACGGGGAGGGGTCTGAGTGCAACACTCCAAATACTACAGGAAATTCAAAACAACTGTGACTGGCAGACTAAAAGCCAGAGACCAGATCTAGAGCTTTAAGAAGTTATTCAAAGAAAAAGGCTATTTCCTGTGGCCCAGTGTTAAGGTTCCTATTTTTTTCTGTTTATTAGAAGAAAGAGAAGAGAAATGGGGGAAGAAGAGGAGGACACAGAGATAAGAGTTACCAGTGGGGGGGGGAGGGAGAGAGAGAGAGAGAGAGAGGAGAGAGGAGAGAGAGAGAGAGAGAGAGAGAGAGAGAGAGAGAGAGAGAGAGAGAGAGATTTATGAACGAGGCTGGTCCCTGGTCAGGAACTCAAGGGAGGGCTTTTCCAGGAACAACTATCTGAAGGCCTGAATGGGTGTGGGGGCAAGTTAAGTATAGACTCTGCTCTTCATCCCAAACTGCAGGAGACTCTGTAGAGGAAGCCTTTAGTGAAACACAGGTCTGGGTCCTATAGGTAAGAGATAAGGACTGGGTGCCAGGAATGAGAATGTGTGCCCAATGAAGAGAGAATCCACTCAGAAACCAAGTCCAGGTGTGGGGTTGAAGCATGTTATCCTGGTCTTCAGCTTTCCCTCTGGGTTCCTGAGTTTTCTTTCTACCTCCACAGTGTCAGTGGCTGTTGGCCTTGCATCATTTATTATTTTGTATTATTTAGTTTTTAAATCTGTCCTCTTCATGGAAAGAATGCACCAGCAGCCATTTTGGTTGCTTAGCTATAGTGGGAGCTGAACAGAGCAAGTCCATGGTCATTTAATTGTGTCCCCATTCAGCAGAGACAATGTCAACATAGAGAAGACCAAGCCTAGCTGTTTCAGTATTCCAGCTGAATGCAAGCCCAGTACTGGTGCTTAGGAACTGGCTGATATCTGATCCAGTGCCCCAGTGCATGTTCAGCTGCTAGCCATCCTGATCCCGATAGTATCCAAGTGGCTCACATAAAATCTTCTCATCCCCTTCCATTATAGACCCCACGACACTGAGCAAAACTTCCCATAACAGGAAGAGCTCTCGGAAAAGAAGTGAGCTTCCTTACCTGTTCTTGCTGTTCATGGTGAGTGGAATGGCTTCCTTACTGGTCTCTTGCTTCCTTCTCCAAGGTTGTGAGACCTTCTGTGAAAGTGATAGACTAACTGTACAATGACATTCTTAGTGCATGATAAGGATATGAAAATGAAACTGCTTGGTTTACAGCAATGAATCAACAACCATGAAAGTCAGCTCTCCAACAATACCAACCAACCAGAGACCCCAGGGTCTAAATCACCAGCCTGGAAACACTTAGGGAGGGACCTATGGCTCCAGCTGTATATGCAAGGGAAGATGGTCCTGTCAGGTATAGGTGGGAGAGGAGATCCTTGGTCCCATGAAGGCTGGATGCCATTGGACTGGGAATTCGAGGGTGAGAAGGTGGGAGAGGGAGTAGGTGGGGGCACATCCTCATAGAAGCAGGAAGAGAGGGGTGGAATAGGGGGTTCCCTGGGCAAGAGGTGGGGGAAATGGGGTAAAGGGAGAACATGTGAAATATAAATAAAATATCCAATAAAATAGATAAATAAATAAAAAAAATAAATCTCCAGAAAAAAAAAAAAGAAAGAAAGTAAGTCAGCTCTGGAGCCAAGCTAGTGGGAGGGCATGCCAAGACTTCTCAGCCTAAACTGTCAAACATTTGCTTGTAAGAGATCTTTGTATCCACCTGCTCTTTTGAGGTTTCCAAAGATATGGACACTTTTTATATAGACAGTTACTCTGAAAGTTGGGGATCCCCTGTGATCATCTGAGATGAAGAGGAAGGATATTATTCTTTAAATCTAGTTGCTTAAAACACATCTCCTCAGGTGTTTGGTTCTCCTGACAGTACTAGTAAGTGAGGGAAAGAGCATGATGCCATCCTCCTGAACATCCAGAACCTTCTACTCTTGGGGATGGGGGTGGCATTCTATGTATTGTAAGTTGATTTAGGCCAGTAACAGTGGCTTTATATGGATTTTCCCCTTAATACTAATTTACAATGTTATTTAAATTCTTTTTCATTCTTCTTTAACATTTTAGCTTCCTTGTTCTTAAATCTACTCCAAACTCAACTATCTATCTATCTATCTATCTATCTATCTATCTATCTATCTATCATCTATTTTGCAGAGAATATTACCCAAATTCTTGGCAAAGTGACTTGAGTCAGGTTAAAATTGTGTTTTCTCAGAAAAAAATAAATAGATGTATTTGTTGCCGGTAAGGTTTGCTACAACTGTGGTAAGGATGGTAGAAATTCATTACTTGAGCCCACCTGCATCTTCTCCATCTCTGCTTCTCTGTCACAGAAACTCTACTGCTGCTGAATGTGGCCCCAGGATTTGGAGATCACTAGTGTGTCTCTATAGGTCCATACTTTAGAATGTTGATTCACAGTGTGGTGTTGGAAAGAGGTAGCATGAGACTTTAAAGCATAGAGCTTAGTAGAAGGCCATTACTGGCCTCCCTAGAATCTTCAAAACTTCTTCTCTCACCTTGGGACCTTCCACTTTCTTAGGCAATCCCACCATGATGTCATTTGCTGAGTCCATGAGGCTGCCTGATTTTGGACCTAGGCCACACAGCTGAGGTATATAAATGTTTCTAAATTACAAAGCACCCACTGCACAGTGCTTTGTTTTGGTAATAGGAAAATAGACACAGTCAACAAACTTAGGTTCCTCTTTCTTCCTCTGTCAAGCAATGACTTGTAGTTTTTGATACAACATCCTTATAAGTACTTACTTTTTCTGTCATTCTTAGATACAACAGCACTTTCACTTTGAATTTGTTTATTTTTCTAATCTAGATATGGGGTATTATTTTGTTGAGGGTTTCCAAAACCCAACTCCTAGTTATGTTGATTTTTGTGGCTCTTTCATGTCTGAGCATATGTCTCTGCTTCATTCTGCATCGTTCCCATCCCCAAAGTTTAGTCTGTTCTTCTTTTTGTGTGGTTTTTTTTATGTTTTAATAAGAGGGGACAGTAGGAACCATAGAGGCTGTCTTCCATCTCTAAAGGACTTCAGTTTTGGATTTTTTTTGAACTATATTCTTAAAAATCCCAGAGGAACTGATGCTGCACAGCAGAATGAACTCTATAGAGATGTAAAGTCAAGACAATATTTTCCTTCCTAGTTATCACTTGTCAAACTATGATGGCTTTTACTATTATTGACTTCCCCAGCTCTTACCTAGAGATAAATTCATCCAAAGACAATGTACTAGGGAGTCTCATATTTTTTTTTTAAAATACTCATAGGTTTGGTTTTTTTTTTTTTTTTTACCAGCAGAAAAAGAGCGAGTTAAAAACCAGAGCACACATACTTTCTGGCAGATACACAAAACACAGCAAAGGTACACACACACAGAGATACACACATATAGACACACACACACGCACACATGCACATACAGATATATAGAAATGTGCACACATATATCACACACCCACAGAAGACAAAGAAAGAAAAATACTAAAATAACAATGCTGTGAAAAAATCCTGAACACAAGTATCAGAACAGCATTAGATTTATTATTTTCAGCAGACTTATGAGCCAGGAAAGTATAGCTCGACAAATTCCAAGTCTTAAATGTAATCAAGTTTGAAATACAGAAAATTATGTAGTAGAGTAATTGGATAAATTATTTCTAGACAAACACAAGTTAAGACCATTTAT